ATGCTGACAAAGATATTACATTATGAGGAGGACACATCGCTTTCATTGGGAACACTGTTATTAACATAAAGGCTGTCAGGCTTCTAACCCTTATCTTTCCTCCCTAAAATTAATGGGTTGGATGATGGGCTGGGTGTTGCTGATATCTGAGAGATCCACAGAACAGACCTGTCTGAAAAAAAAATCATAAAATGCTATACGACAAAACCAATTAATTCATTAAGAAAACAGCCCTAAACATGTTTTCTCTGCTGGGGCTGGGGCCTTGTGTCCTTGAGACCAAGTGGTTATTAGCCAGTGTCCATCTACAAGCCCTTTCTATGAGTCAGCAACCATGAATCTCAGCTATCAATTGCCTTGAAGTCAAGGACAGGTTGATCTGCCTGTGGATCACAGGCCCACATGGGTCGTTTTAATGTTCAAGTGTTGTGATCTAAATATAGATAGATGACTCTCATTATCAACCCTAGAAGCCATGTGCAGCAAGCTGCTAGTGGCCTTGGAGATGTGCACTGTGACTTCTTGGAAAAACAGAAGTCATTAAGTCCTCTTCACCCATTTTCAAGGTATACAAATGGGCTAGAAGTAAAAATTCTTAGATGAGAAAAAGAAAATCATACACATGTAAGTATGCTGATTTATAAGAGAAACCTTTAAAAGAATCTCCTACAGGGACTTCTACATTATGACTCCACTTTAAAATAGGTGACTCCAAGCAGTACTTCAAACAAGTTCAGGTAACCCATGGAAAGGCCACGTTTGTAATAGAGATTGGCAAAGTGAATTGCCAGCAGATCTGCAAGAGAATTTGAGTTTTCAAATCACCATGAAGCGGAGACTAATTAATACACAGCCTGAAACTGTTACTCATTTCCATTTTTCTTTTCTTTTTTTTGAGATGGAGTCTTACTCTGTCACCCAGGCTGGAGTGCAGTGGCTCGATCTCGGCTTACTGCAACCTCCGCCTCCTGAGCTCAAGCAATTGTCCCACTTCAGCCTCTTGAGTGGTAGCTGAGATTACAGGCATACATTACCATTCCTGGCTGATTTTTGTATTTTAATAGAGATGGGATTTCACCATGTTGGCCAGGCTGGCCTCGAACTCCTGACCTCAGGTGATCCTCCCACTTCAGCTTCCCAAAGTGCTGAAATTACAGGCATGAGCCACCGCACCCAGCCACTCATTTCCTGTTAGTCTCAGTATTGACTATCCAACTCCTAAATTTATCTTCTGCTCAAAGCTAAATACTTCTACTCTCTTTTTTTGTGTGTTTTCACATTGTTTCATTTGGACTTGTCCCAATCTCTCTTTTTAAAATATTTATTATTTTAAATGAATTTGTTTGGAATTCACATCTGGAATTCACATTCTATGAATTAAACATGAGGATGCCTTTAAGGGAGTAAGAACGGGAAGGATGTGAGATACCCTTAGCCAGTTGGCTGACTGAATTCTGCTCTTGACAGTTAAGAAGAAACTCGAATACCACCCACCTGCACAGGTTGCTCTTGTAGGATCCAGTGAATGAGCACACCTACCATTATTGGTGGTAACTCAGACCTCTAGTTAAGGCTGGGGTCAACTGCACCATTACCTTCCTTCATTAGCTCCTGATTACCACAAGCTCATCTGGGTTCCTTAGGGCTGGGACCACCTTCCATCATTTTATAAAGGTTCTGCACAGCCCTTCTTGCCTGATCATCTGGATCCCTGACACCTTCCTCCTTCCTTTTCCACACTCTCAGTTCTGTGAAGCACACCAGTGATACATGTGGACGTAGCACTAGTAGAGCCAGTGTCTTCACATATTCTCCTGTGGTCTTGATGATCAGAACATGCTCTTTTATTCTCTGCCCTAATTGAAATTTGCCCCTTTCCTCATTTACTTTTTCTCTGATTTTCTTACACTACCAGTTGAGTTGCCCCGCCCCTCCCTGGCACGCTTCTGCACCATGGTTTCCTTGGTTATCACACATCCCAACCAACATGCCGGTTCTTCATCAAGCTTGCAAGTGGTCTTCAGGAATGTTAGCAACCTACAGTTGCCAGGCACTGTGACTCATGCCTGCAATCCCAGCACTTTGGGAGAACAAGGCAGGAGGATCCCTTGAGCCCAGGAGTTTGAGATAAGCCTGGGCAACTTAGTGAGTCTACAAAAAAATAGAAAAAATTAGTCATAGGTGGTGACATATGCCAGTAGTCCAAGCTACTTGGAAGGCTGAGGTGAGAGGATCACTTGAGTCCAGGAGCTCAAGGCTGCAGTGAGCTGTGATTGTGCCACTGCACTCCAGCCTGGGCAACAGAGTGAGCCCTTGTCTCCAAACACAAAAACAAAAGAAAACAACCCACAGTCTTATTTGCACTTTGCTCTTTTTTGAGGAAGTTAAAGTAAATACCATATTTAATATCTTGGCTATTCTTCTTTCCATGATGGACTGGAGGCCCATGCTTTCTCCTCACAGGACTGTAGAACTCCACTATGAGATCACATCTTTCCAATCCAGATGATTCTCCTGGAACATCTTACCCTTGCACATGTTGTTTGTGGTTTACCTTGTGTGGCAAGCTCTTGCTTTTTTTTTTTTTTTTTTTTTTTAAAGAAAAAGTTTCTTTTTAAGGCAAAAAAAAAAGTGTTTGCCTTACTTTTAAAATATTTTTAAAAGGGGTAGCAACAAACAATCAAAATCCCCAGCCTTCTCCACTGTTTGCTATTTTCCATCCCAGTCCTTATGATGGTGTTATTAACATGTCTGTTTCATCCATTCAGCCCATCAGCTCACTCCACCCTGTGTTCTGGAAGATGTCTTTGTGGGTCTCCTCTGACAGGCCTAGGCTTCCTGCTTTCAGCCACACTCTGCCTGTCTTTACAAGCTCCCACAACTCTCTGGTTTCTTCCCTGGCCCTCCTGCATTCTCTTCAGCCTGGGAAGGAGGAACTGTGTGGTTCTTTGAAGTCTTTTGTTTTGTTCTTTCCCTTTAGAACTCTCCTGATCTTTCTCCAGAAAGAAAAACAAAAGAGAACAAAACAAGACAAGCCTCCCATCTCTGGTGTACCTTTCTCCATTACCAGATTCACTGTCTGCTGATTATAAACATTTGGTAATTCTTCTGAAGTCTACTTAGATCTTCGTGGTTGTTTTCTGTCCCCCTCAGTTCAGCTTCCAGTGATAAGTGGTTACTATTACTTTGAGGAATAAATTCAGAAAGCTAATCCGAGCTAGGTACGGTGCTCACGCCTGTAATCTCAGCACTTTGGGAGGCCAAGGCGGGAGGATCGCTTGAGCCCAGGAGTTCAAGGCCAGCCTGGGCAGCATGACAAAACCCTGTCTCCAGTAAAGAAAATACAAAAATGAGCACTATGCATTGCCACTATCTCGCTGCTGCTATGTGGTAGACTGGGTGATGGGAAATTAACGCTTTCATCTAGAGTGGGGTCCATTTGGTTGAAGAGAGGATGAGCTATACCATTACATCCAGATTCCCCTGATTTCCAACATGATGTGATTCAAATCACAATGTCATTATGCAGCATCTTTCATGCCTCTTTCACTGTTCATTTGCCATGGCAGGCTGTCGATTTACCAGATTCTGGCTTTGTCCTTTCATATCTACCACCTTGTTCTAGGCACGACACGACAAGAACCTCAGTTATGGAAGTCACTTCCTGCCTGGCTCCCTTGCTCCAGTCTTCCATCTTCAGCTTATCATGAACATGTGTGTCTGAGTGGTTCTTTAGTGATAATACATGAGATCTCATCAAAACTTCATGCAGTGAAAACATTTAATAGCTCCTTTCACATTCAGAGTAACATGTGAACTCACTACCTGGGCACATCTGGGCTGTTTCAGGCTCCTCGGCTTCTATGTGAGCTCTTCTGTACATATTGAGAACACCATGCTTTCTCTAGCCACGACAACTTAACACAGTCTGTTCCTCTTGCTTGGAGTATCTTTTCTCTCCTTTGCTCAGTAAAGTCCGACAGGTGTCCTACAAGCACCTCCTCTAGGAAGCCTCACTAAATCTTACCTTTCTTTAACACAGCCTAGTTGTCAACCCCTTCAGGAAGCCTTCCTACACCTCTTCCTTTTCGTATTCCTTTGGATCTAGGAATATGCTATTCCTCTGTGTGTCCTCATTATAGCTCATGGACAGCTCTGTGGTAATTGTCATGAACCTGTATGTTTCTGCCAGGGACCTGAATTGAAACTTCTAGCCCAGTGGCTACCAAAGAGGATCTACTCAGTGAATGCTTCCTAAATAAATGAAGAGCTCTGCAACCCACATGTCCATCACTGCTAAGACCATACCCCGGATTTTCTAAAAACACTTTGCAAACACAAAAAGTATTTCACTCTAGGTCATCCCTCAGCCTAGGGTTTTGTCCCAAATGTTTCTAACATCTTTTCCTCATTAAACATATTTTTACCCTTCAATCGCTGTATTAAAAATGTGCATACATACTTACTGTGTATTTAAAATATGCAGTTTGATCCCATAAAGTAAAATTTGTTCCAGTTTGCATACAGGATTTCTTGTGTGACTTTCTGCTCAAGAAGGACGTGCAGCATTAGGAAGGTTTCCAAAGCACTGTTCATGAGCAGCATCTAATAGGTTCCTTTTCTTTATCTTCCTAATGCTTGTCCAAGGCAGTTTAGTGTTTGTGCTACTATCAGATACAATTGAAAATGAAATAATTTCTTTTAAAATTAGATGCATGCTTTGATAATTTAATTGAACATATATTTATCTTCATGTTCTTTATCAAACAAGGTGCAGATATAGAAAGTAAATTTATTTCAGAAAAGTAAAATTGTTTAATAGCTTTGTTGTTATTTTTTGGTCAATATCTGAAAGGTTTGTTTTTTATTGGTTTATATTTTACTAATTGTTTACGTATTTATTACATAAAATGTGTTCATTCTCACCATTCCTCTTGCACTCAGACTTTATTAGCATGTTTTTCATTTATATATATATATATGTTCGTTCTTCTTTTCAGGAGGAATGTCAGAACTACATCCGGGTGCTTCTGGTGGGTGGTGACCGGTTATTCACCTGTGGGACCAATGCATTCACACCTGTGTGCACCAACCGCTCGGTATGGCTTCCTTTTGTACATTGTATTGAAACATTAGTTTTAAATGAACTTCTATACACCAAAGGTGGCTGTTTAATTCAAAAGCACCTTTTGTCAATTTGAATAAATTTTTAATTTACTGATGTATTTCTATTCAGGACCATCAATTAGATAAAGAACTGGAAATAATTACAATTCGTATAATTAAACTTAAATATGTTTCTAAACTATTTCAATGAGCATTTTCCTCACCAGTGACTTTAAACATTAATCCTAAACAAATTCTTTTTTGTCTTATTCTGCTTTATGGTAGAGACACTGTTACTGTTGTTTATATTTATTAAAATTATTGAAATGGTCTAAAATCACCATCCACAGGAAGAAAAAATTAGTCTACAAATTGTATAAGAGGTTTGTTAAAAAGAATAAGCAAGCTAAGAAATTGAGCCCTAGGCAGCATCCAGTTATAACTGACCCTCTTTCTTATCCTTAACCTGGCAATCATTGACAGGGTAATTTTTAGCTGCACACACCATAGCAGTAGCACGGTAGGGTCAGTAGAACACATGTGGAATTTTCCTAATTCAGGGTATGAATGCAGTCTTCCTCAGGGAATGTAATGAAGAAATACGTTCATTCCCTGGTTGCACACCTTTCTTCAGGGTCTTAATTGATCATCTGCTTTTACTGTTCATGATTTCAGATTATCATTCAATTATTGAGGGAGGAGATAAATGATAAGGGGTATGATGCTCAGGGACTCTCTAGGTGCTGCACCCTTCCCTGCAGCACTTTTACCAGTGCAGTTGTTCAGTCCTCAACATCTGTCCCACAAGATCGTTACTCTTTGGTACCCCATTGTATAAAAGAAGAACCTGAGACATAAAAAGCTGAGGGAAATTAGCCAGGGCACACCTCTTATAGCAGAGCAAACTGTGCCTGTATCTGCTGACCTGACCCTTCTGCTCCAGCATCTCTCAGGCGAGAACCAAGAACCAAACTGAACAAAGATTCCACCAGTGCCCAAGAGCTTTTCTCATTAAATGATTGGTTGGGAATCCAGCATTTGGGAAGCTGGATTCATACGAAATGACTCCAAGACTCTTGGATATCTCTCTGAAAACTGAAAAAAAAAAAAAGAAAAGTGTTGGAAATGCAGGCCACATGGTGCTGATTATCCACACATCCTTACCTGTGAACACATTGTTCGAGATACTCGTTATATTTTGGTTCACTTATATCGATATTGATAGAATTATACGTAATTCTTTATTATGATCCTATTTCTGTAAATATTGACACTGATTTTTAAGTTAAAGTGGAAAGTATGCAACACTTTTGCTACATCAACAGCACACATACAATGATCTTATTTCTTCTTGTGTGAGTATTCAGTGGTATGAGGTTCAGTAACTCTAAAGTGAGGAGAAAGAGACTGAGGGACTGTCTTACTGTGAGCCGAGGGGGCTGTTTTTGTTGGTTTGAGTATAAAAGTTGGTCATCTCTCACCAGGAGCCCCAGAGAGGCTGTTGCACAAGCATCACTGTGATTGTGGTGGATGTGATCCATAAGCATCCCTAAATGGGCTTGTGCAGAGATAACTGCTTTCCTTCTCATCCTCCGCAGTTGAACAACCTGACTGAGATCCACGATCAGATCAGTGGCATGGCCCGCTGCCCCTACAGTCCCCAGCACAATTCCACAGCGCTTCTCACAGCTGGCGGAGAGCTCTATGCTGCGACAGCCATGGATTTTCCAGGACGTGATCCTGCCATTTACCGAAGCCTGGGCATTTTACCACCTCTCCGCACGGCACAGTACAACTCCAAATGGCTCAATGGTATGCCTTCTGTCACTCCCACTTTCCCACCCCGTTTGTTTTTGATTCCTGGTTATTTGGTGCTCAAAAGCAAATTACAGTACTCTAAATAAAGACAAATTCTTCATCCTTGGAAGAAATAAAAATGTAGCTTGTTCAGGACTCATGATTAAAAGGACATCATGCTATTTAGTACTTGGAAGAGATCTGATATTCCCAACTCTCTAGATCATGATAATAAGGCTAATGTTGATATGACCACTCATAGAAGCTAGCTGTTTTTTTTTTCTATATTTTTTGTTTAATGTCTAGAAAATTTGACACTTTGTCATAGATATATGTGGACTCCTGTGCATCACTTCTTAACTTTCTTTTTATGTGTCTAGAAATTGAAATTACTAACATGGCATGTCATTTTCACACTGTGTAAAAGAATGTGTTTGTCTGTAGGTAACTCCAAAAAGTTTGACAATTAAAAATGTAAAAAATGAATGAACTCATATACTTAGAAGTTAGTAGTAGGCATCTTCAGGGTTTATTAATTCAGTGGCTCAAGAGTTAATAAGGAGGCAGGTATTCACTGCGGTCTCTGCCATCCACAGTTTGGTAGATGGGCCCTCAGGCCACCACTGCTTGTGGTTGCAAAATTGTTGCTGCAATTTCAGGTATTGCATGTACACGTGGCAATATTCCCTGGAAGAAGAGCAAAATCCCTGTGCCCTTTTCACCTGTATATTTCTTTTTAAAGAAACCAGAAACCTTTAGAAGGCTTCTTTCAATTCTGGGTCAGAACTTGATCACTTGCTCACTAAGCAATCAGAAGATGGTGACAACCATCCAAATTGAGGTTCACTGTGTACAAAGTCCTGATGTGTGTGAGCTGAAATGCAGCCCTCTGTATATCTGTGCATTCATGTGTCAGTGTGGTCACACACACACAAACATATATACACACACCTACAAAGGCAGCTTGGATCCACCATGTGTAATCCATTGCCCCAGCTTGTTTAAAGGTGAAATCTTGAGAATTGTTAGACTTTTGCCACATATCAGCTAATTATGTAGACTAGAGTTTTTCAGCCTCAGCACTAATGATGTTTTGGGCCAAACTGTTCTTAGTTGTGTGGGCGGGGTCTTGTCCTTGCCATTGCAGGATGCTTAGCAGCGTTTTCACCCTGTATTTGTTTTATATGCCAGTAGCATCCTCCTCTGCCCGGTTGTGACAACAAAAAAATGTTTCCAGCAATTTTTCAGTAGCCCCGGGAGGGGTAATTGACTCTAGTTGAAAATCACTGGTTTAGACTAAGCATATATGCAAAACTATGGATATGTGTTTATATACTCAATGCAAATATTTTGCCAAATAATACAGTCAACCTAACCATCAGAGTTTGGCTTTAAAAGACTGTCCTGTAGAGAAAAAGGATGTCCTCATCATTAACTTTCTCAAGTAAACTGAATGCCTCTATTGCTTCCAAAGGGAAACATGAATTGTTTTCCCAAACTGAGGCACTAACTAGATTTCTCCCATTAACATCATTCCATTGAACTGGCTCCACCTGAATCAGCTGATTCTCTATGGATGGTTCCCTTTTGGCCCTGATATTTTTGTCTGTGCAGCTTCAAGTTGTTCTATCTGTTTGTTGATTCTGACTGGCCAAGGAAGTTTCCACTTGAAAATCAAAAAGACTCCTTATCCCAATGAAGGCTTTGTAATTAGAATTTGCCAGAATCAAAGTAAAAGGTAATTGGGAGCACTCTCTCTTTTCCCACAGTGATACCTTAAGAATATCCTGGAGAAACAATTCGGGTCATAGCATGAGTTATAAACACCAGCTGTCTTCTTACACGTGACTCAGAGACCACCAGCTGATCAGGCAGTCAGCATCAGTCAGCCCCTTGGCTATCAGCTTCTGTCAATTCTCCCTTTCCATTAGAGAGTCCTGTGATGCCATCCAGGCAATGGAAGAGCTAAGACAGTGTTTACCGCAGTCAGGTAGACATAACGTTATTTGTTGTACAAAGATATTAATGTTTCCAATTCCTAAAACATTTTGCTGTTCATTTATAAGATATGGTGACAGCAGAAATTGAAAGTAATTCAGAGGTAAACATGGTGGCTCTACCACTCAGGCCATGAGGGCAGCACAAATTGCCTGACAGTGAATAGCCTGCATTTCTCAGGAAAGCAGCATTCCTCCTGCCTGCCCCCACACTCCTTCCCTGGCCTCCAAGACCCTCACTTCCAGGGTAGAAAGCCAAGAGCCCTGCCCGAGGACTCTGAGTTCCTGCATATGAAGTGCTGTCTTTATACCTCTCCTGTGTTTTGTTAGGGCACTTTCTGCTGCTGCCGAACCCTGGGATATTATTTCCATTCCTGGTTGGCCCTGATTTGCTTCTCTGATTGACCCTCCAACCAGGATTGTATCATTCTTATGCCTTTGCATCCTCATAACTTAGTTCCCACTTACAAGTGAGAACATATAATATTTGGTTTTCCATTCCTGAGTTACTTCACTTGGAATAATGATCTCCAGCTCTTTGCAAGTTGATGCAAAATACATATTTTGTTACTTTTTTATGGCTGAGTAGTAATCCATGGTGTATACATATCACAGTTTTATTCCAAAATTGTAACTACCCTGCCTTACACCACGCCTGCCAACCAAGGACCATTCACAGATCTGCTCATCACCTGACTTCAGATCACAGGCCCCTCCTGCGCAGCCCTCTTGACCCTCCTTACTAGGTTCAGTTTTAGCCTCAGCCATTATGACCTTTTAATACGTTTTCTCCTCCACCACTAGCATGAAAGTTCCTGATGACCAGGGCTTCTGTGTGTTTCTCAGTGTTGGGTCCCACATGCTTACAATAGTGCCGGCATGAAAGTAAGCACCCCGCCAGCATTTTTCTAATTAATTAATTAACAAGTGCTATGGTCTGAACGTTTATGTCCTTCCAAAAGCAGTAGGTTAAAATCTAACCTTCAATGTGAGAGTATCAGGAGGTGAGGCATTTGAGAACTGACTAGGTCATAAAGGTAGAGTCCTCATGAATGGGATTAGTGCGGAGTAAACAAGACCCCAGAGGGCTCTCTCGTTCCTCCCACCTTGTGAGGATGCAGTGAGAAGATGCCAGCTGGGAACCAGAAAGCAGACCCTTGCCAGACATCCCACCTGCTGGTGCCTTGACCGTAGACTTCTCAGCCTCCAGAACTGTGGGAAAGAAATGTTTGTTATTTATAAGCTGCCCAGTTTATGGTATTTTTGTTACAGCAGCTGAAATGAACTGTCTACCATTGGGTAGATATTACCTTCTTTGTTTCCTCCACTATTTTATGAGTTCCTTAAGGAGGGGTTCTGTGGCAGCCTGCTTTATGTCCTCAGGATCTTATACAGTGTCTGAAATATAGATGGGGATTAATCCATATTTCTTGAGTGAGTAAGAGGTTAGTACTTTAGCACATGGTTAGTATTTTACTACTCACCTGTATTCTGCTAACAGGAAGTGAAAAATGGAAGCTTTTGAGATGAATCACCAGGAAAAAAAAAAAAAAAGCCAACAGAAGACATTCACAAATAGCAGAAATAGGAATCATGTTAAACATGGGAGAATATTCTATTAATTGTATATCAGAATTAAACAGGAACAAAAATACAGATAGGTATGTTTGAAATTGAATCAGGTCCAAAAATGTGTAACATCTTCCTTTTGAGCCCCAATCTCATGTGGACCCCCATTTTCAGTCATCATTTATTGTCATTTCTCAAAGGCAGTGCAATCCATTGGATAACATTCTGGATAAATCTGGAACATTAAGTTATGTGTTTGGTAATGAATAGGTTTCAAAGTCGTATTTTTCCCTGTGCCAAAGTTGCTCTTAAAACAAATTTATGTATTTAGAGAAATACCTTAACAGCTTTAATGCATTAAAATATTAATTGTTAATAACTATATGAAATGATTACTATAAGGCAGGATAATAAATGTTTAATGGTTGATGCTTAAAATAGAGAAGCAATAAAACTTGCCTTCAAGAAACTGGCAGTCAAGTTAGGGAAACAATAATCCCGTGAAAAGGAGAAAATATAGTTCCAAATTAATATTGTGCTAATTGAGTTTGTGAGCTCTGAAGGAACTATGTGCTTGCACACAGAGGAACAACTTCAGGAGGAACTTGGAAAAATAACTCCTAAATGAGCCTTAATAACTCAGCATGAACATCTGAGTCCACACAGCCTTATTAATACTCAGAGACCTTCTGGCTTTCCTTCTCTGGTGGAAATGTGTACTTATCACACTGGGTTCTCCCAGGGTACTCCACAGTGTCCTGCATTAGCTGAGATTCCAACCAGGATTTCATATGGAGGTGAACTCACTTGAAATCCACAAGCATTCTTTTTCCAACAGTATCATTTTTTGTGAGCTATTAGAATTCTAGTTGAGAAAACACTTTGGGTAACAATCTTAAGTTCTATTGGTTTGAAATACATTGATGGTGTTATCCAAGCATTGAGTAGACCCTTGGGGTCTTTAAAATGCAATTATTAACCTTCTAATGATTAATGATAATTTACTTGGAGGATGAAAATCTCCTCTGTGCTTAAGTCAAGGAGAAATTGTTTCTGCTTGTCCTGAGGAGAGGTGCTTTGTGGAACTCAGAGCTTCCGCTTGGGACCAGGTGCCAACTCCAAACAGCCTGAGCCCAGCCAGCCTGGCGAGATTTTGTTGGGCTCTACCCTGGGGACAGTGAGAGCCTGTTTGGAAGGGTGCACACAGCACAGCGCCTGGAGGTATGACTGGTCTGCAGGAGGTGCTTCCTACGCTGACAAGATTTGCTAGAGCTAGAAATTCATAAATGGAAGCAGAGGTCAGAGAACAAGCAAAACAAAGACAAATGAGGATTGGAAATGAAGTATATGTGGGTACCAAAATGCAAGTATTTTCAAGGAAAAGAAGAAGCTCTGTAAAGCCAGAATAGAACCAAGACTGCATAGTCAGCAGCCTAGTTTTTATTTTAT